CATATACTTCTGTATTTTTAAAATTAATTTCATGTGCATATTTTGCAATTTTAATTTTGAAACTTGTGTTGAAAAACAGATTTAGGATTCAATAATTTAGAGGACAGCAGTGAGAAGGAATTAATGATTAGAAAGATATTTTTTTTCTAGAGGGCATTTGCAGTAACAGAAAAAGACGGAGAGACAGAGAGTGAGGGAGAGGAGAAAGCACCCCCACGTAGGAAATGGTCATACCACGATCCCTTCCCCTCCACCTCTCCCTCTTCTCAACAATTTGGGTAATCACACACCCAGTGTGCTTCTCAAGCTGCCAGATCCAAGACTTGCACTGAGTATTTGGCCATGTGGAATCTGGCTGCCTTAAACACCAGGCCACCCAGCTGGCTCAAGTGTAAGGTCTTATGAAATGTGACTAAAGGTACAACATGAGATTATGTGAAGAAAGAGAGCCAGAGAAATTTTTAAAAATTAGTCAGTACAATGGCTGGTCCTGTTGCCTAGTGGTTAAGGAACTGGATCTCAAATGGTGTAATACAGTTCAAATCTTACACCTGGCTTGAAAAACATGTCATGTGAGCATGAGTGTGCCCCAAGTCCTGACACAATGGAGAGATGGGGGAAGGACTGTGGAGTGATCCCAACCTATTTTCCTTCTCCCTGTCTCTCTTTCTCTCTCTGCTGAGCACATGTGCCCACTGGCAAATAATGGAGAAAAAAAAAAAAAAGGAAAAATCAGGGCCAGCAGATGACACAGAGGTTAAGACTGCTGGATCCAACATGGTCAATTCTGAGGTTCGAGTCCTAGACCTGGTAGCTTGAAAATCATGCTGCATGCATGTGTGTGCATGCCCAAAATCCTGAGAGGAGAATAGAAGAAAAGGGATTGTGGTGTGGCCATCCCAGGGGCTGGGGTCTGGGGGATGGGGGGTGACGTCTCACTTTTCCTCTTTGTCTCATCTCTGTGGGTGAGTACACACACACGATAGCAAAAACTTAAAAAAAATTTTTTAGTCAATACAAAACCAGGTTATCTATAACAGAAAATGACCCAGTAGCCTGGAAGCAAAACAAAAGAAGCTCCAACTATACTAGAAAGGACTTAGGAGAGCTATGAAGAAAAATACCCACCCCAAGAGCTGAGACACACTGGAGAATCTCATTTCCTAGGGATTTCTCAGAAGACAGCAAAAATCTGTGCTCTGATTTCTTGACTAGGTAGAATGCTATCAAGAGGCAGAGATAAGATATTAAAAGATTCCATATAATTTCCTTTATGACATGACTCACACACTTTATTTCAATAAAGAACAGGCTATTCTGGAAGCTAACAGAATTATCTTTGGAGGTCTGCTCTGGAGTATATCAGTTAAAAAGGAAAATCTTTCTTCTTTTAGCATTTGCATGTCTTCTGTATTTCTTAAGGTTTCATTTAAAAATGGGAAGTACAGTAGATTGAGGTTATACCTATAGATATAAAACCATGACCTTCAGTCCCATTGATTCTTGCAGGGTTAACAGGCACTTTCCTTTTTATTACTCTTATTCTTGTAATGTATTATTTATTTATTAATATGTAAAACACTGCTGTAGCATCTAAGCGCTAAAATACAAAGTTAAAAATATAAATTATTTAAATCTACCAACTAATGGAAAGGAAAAAGGAAAGGGGAAAAATATTGATGACTTAATGTAAAGCTACTGAGAACGCAAATGAGTGCAAGGGTTTTGAATCAAGAAAAAACCGATTTAACGAAATACAAAATCACTAGGACATGTATAGTCGATAGTCAGTCAACTAACCCTTGTGAAAAATTCCACATCACAGGGGCCAGAGAGCAACAAAATGCAATGCTGTGCAAGGGCGCCCGCATGGGAAGGTTCTGGTCTCGCATCTGGAGAGCCCCCTGAGTACGCCAGCTGCAGGTGTGCTCATGATCCAGGGCTGGCTGGGAGTGGATCATGGCATCAGGTCCCTGTTAACGTTTCCTGCACATGTGTTCTCCCTCTGTGTCTCTACTTTAAATAAAAATTTAAAAACTGTTTTAAAATCCACACTGTACAGTGCTCTCAACAGAGGTACATGAAAGAAAGAGACAAGGAATCCATTTTATATCATATGAAAGGACGGAAGAGACAGGTGAGGATAGCCAGTAAGACATGTATTAATAAAAGATGATGGAGGCTGGCAAGAGGTGTTGTGGTTAAGGCACTGGACTCTCACATGGCCAACTGAGGTTCGAGTCCTGGACCTGTTGACTTGTTTTCTCACTTTCCTTTTCTCTCTTTGTCTCTCTCTGGTCAAATTTTAAAATAAATAATAATAACAAATAAAATAAAATAAATAATTTTCCAAAACAGAAAAAAAAGATGATGAGCTTTGAAAAGGCAGAGGGTCTGGTCTGGGAGCTGTATACTCAAATAAGCAAAGACCTTGAGAAATTAAAATGGGTGGCTTTACATGGGCCTTGGAGGCTTTCTTATTGTATGAAAGGGTCCAGGACTTTGGAAATAAGTTAATCACCTCATTTCCCCCTTTCCACCACCGTGCTTGGTTGAACACTCTTTAATAATGCTTTGAGTACTCGGAGGCAACGTGGCACCACGGAAAGAGTCAGAGGATTGTATCTTAGCTCTGCTCCTTGAAAAAGATTCTTAACTCTTCGAGCTTCATTTTCTCTTTTATAAAAGGAGAACAATATCACTATGAGGTGTTTTGTATTCAGGACAAAAGGAGATAAAGGCCGTGAAAGTACTGGAATGCTAGTTATGAAATAATAAAGGCTTTTTATGCTATGGCAGAGATGGTCACAAGATTTGTGCTCTTCTGGGGAATGGCTGCCCAGACAGGAACTGACTATGTTTCCCAGGCACACGGACATCTCGTGTGGCAATGTGACTAGTTCTCCCCAGTGCCATGTGACTGGCAGGGATGGATGCTAGGCATGAACCAAGGCTGTTCAGAACCAGGTATTCCTTCTCTCTGTTCTTTCCCAAGGGAGACACAGATGATGCCAAGGAGGCGCTGAATAATGGCCGCACCACTCGTCACCAGCAACACCACAGTGGCTAACAGGTGACTGAGAGGCAAATGACTGTGTGAAGTCACCGAAATATCGGAGCTTATTTGTAGCATGTGTTGGCCTAACCGACACAAGCATGCCGTATGATAACTGCTACAATAATACCAGTGATGGTGCCAGACACTGCAACAGAGACACTACCACGAACACTGCTAGGAAACTGCGGCCAAATAAGCCCATGACAACAATGCTCAACATCGGTAGCCACCAGGGAAACCACCATGATATGCAGCTTCACTCCCACCAAGATGGCTGTAACCAAAAAATAGGTAACCACAAGACCTGGTGAGAGTGTGGGGACACTGGGCCCTTGTATAGTGCTGGCAGAAATGGAAAATGGTACCGCTGCTATGGAAAAGTATGGCATTTCCATTAAAAGTAGAAGAGAGTTAAAATATGACCTAGAAATTCTACTCCGAGGTCTCCACTAAAGGAGCTAAGAACATACGTTCACATACAAATTCATGCAGGAATGTTCACTGCAGCATTATTTAAAGTAGCAAAAGGAAAGACAATTCAAATGCTTATCAACTGATGAATAAATAAACAAAATACGGTATATCCATGCGGTGGAATATTATTCAGCCATAAAGAGGAACAAAATTCTGATATATGCTACAGCCTAGATGAACCGTGAAAACATTATGCTAAGGGAAAAGAAGCCAGGAAAAAGGTCACATATGGTATGATTCCATTTATATGAACTGCCCAGAATATGCAAATCCATAGAGACAGAAAGCAGGTTACTGGATGCTGGGGCTGGGAGAGCTGGAAGGGAATGAGGAGAGACTGCTAATGGGGAGGAGCTGCTTGTGGGGGTGTTCCGGATCATTATGTAGTGATGGCTGCAAAACTTTGCAGATGTAGTAGGAACTACTGAAATGTACACTTTAAAAGGGTGAGTTTATGGTATAAAATCGTATCTCAATTAAAAAAAAAAAAAAAGAAAGAATTAGCTATTTGTTTTCCATTACCTCCCAGAGAATCTGGCTCTACATGAAAAAGCACCGAGCTCTTTTCATGCACCCTGATTCTAGGCTGGTCAGATCGCACAGGCTCCTTCCTCCTAGCTTCTGCAACCAGGAACATTCCAGCAGAGCCCCAGGGCCGTATGCATCGAATGCCTCTGTTTGCCAACAAAGAACCTAAGGTCCTCTCTAACAAAGCTTTCCTTACTTTAGGCAACAGCACAGAGAACACTGAGATGAGACACAAATTTAAAGCTAGCCCTAAGAATGGCAGGAGGGTGAGGAATAGGACAGAAGCCACAGAAAAATTACTGAAGAGTATGTCGCTTCAACTAAATTCTCTAAGGAAGAAGGAAATTCTAGTGTGGGATGTGGAGAGAAGGCCTAACAGAGGAATGCACAAGGAAAAAAATCTTTCCTTTCCCTGTTTAGGTGCACATACCATTTTTTTGTTTGTTTGTTTTTGGAGAGGTTTTTGCTATAGGGCACATGTGCTTGCTGGAAAGACAGAGACAGAGAGACAGAAAGTGAGAAATCACCCCCCCCCCCCAGGGGGATGGCGACGCCGCAATCCCTTCTCTTCCATTCTCCTCTCGGGATCTTGGGCATGCATACATACACGCCCAGCGTGAGTTTAAGCCACTGGGTCTGGGACTCAAACCGCGGTCAACTACATGGGAGTCCAGCGACATAGCCATTAAGCTAACTGCTGGTCCTCCTTTTTCAAAAGTGTGAGTCAATTTCAAACCACCAGATAGAGATAGCCTGTTTGGTCACAGCAAGTAAATTGTCATATAAGTACTCAATCAAACAGCAAAAGATCATTGAATATGTTTTCAACCTCCAAATAAAAGTATAATTTGTTGAGTCTGTGAATCTGCACTGGAATCTTTGAATGCATTGGTAGGGTTGTCTTGCAGCGGGAATAAACTCATGGAACGGTGCGACTTACTTGCAGGAGACTTTAGTTCTGTCGGCCACCATGGTCCACTGTTGCTGGTTGGTAGAAACCTCAACGTAGTAGCTATAGCTTCGATCGTCACAGTCCCAAAGCAATAACCTGAACACAGAGAAAAACGTAAGATTGCTATAAATGTTCCACCTGGCAGTTTCGTTGGGCTGTGGGCACGGAGGACTGAATCTGTGTCTCCTTTATCACTGTCACCTGCCTCTCTGGTCTCCCTGGCAGCCCAATGCACACACTTCCAGGATTGGAGAAAGAGTGGGAATCCCAACAAATTTAAGAAGAGAAGAGCCCCAGTCTGCAGTGAGGGGCTAGCGTCTTAAGGAGTTTATTTCACAAGTCACCCAATTCCAGGCAGCCTCTGTCCCCCCAAATGGTAAAGTTCATCCAACTGGCTTAGAAAGGAGACAATGTCCCCAGATCCTCCTTCCTGCTTCTTCCAGCTTTCAGCTCCAGTGGGCTGAGCTGAGCAAAGGCAGCACCCTGAAGGCCAGTGTTCATGGGGGATGTGTGCTTTCTAACTGGGGAGACCAGCAGGCCCCCATGACCTTCACTATCACGTCTCGCTTCTCATGCTCACTGGGATTTCTGCACACCTTTGGTAAGACTATCTCATTTGGAGATACAGGTAGACATATTTCATTAGTCAAGCTTTTCAATTCATTATTTAGAAATTGATTATCTTGGTCTTGTTCTTCTAATCCCCCTTTTCTGCTCAGATAAGAACCTAAGTATTGCCTGTATAATTCTATTTACATAAAGCTCAAAGCAGACACAATTTATCTGTTGGTGACAGGAATCAGAACAGTGGCTATCTCTGGGGAAGGTACTGAGGTATTGAAAAGAGGCAAGGAATAAAGTAAGAAGGAATAAAATAAAAAACTGCCACTCAATTCAAACTGAGTGGCAGTTACCTGGGTACAGATGTATGTATATGTCCATCGATCCATACATAAAGTATTTGTGCATTATATATGTATTATTCCTTGATTTAAAAACTAATTAATGAAAAGGACTCTGTGCATTACAATATGGGCTCAACATTTTGTTTCTGACAGTGCCACAGAGGAGATAGATAGACCACTGTTTTTTATGAGTTCGGCCTTAAAAGTCCTCCCCATATAAAACACGTATCCTAAGTGGATGGCCAGTGTGTGTGTTTCCCCCACCAGTTGGGGAAGACGGTGAGCTCCTCGCAGGCAGTGCCCGTGTCCCACTGATGCTTCTATACCCAGTACGGGGCATGTGTCTCACACAGAGCTCACATGCCATGAAAGTTTGCTGAATGGATGTATTTTTTATAGCAACAGCCATAATGATGACCATGACAGCCAACAGTTCTCGAATGCTTACCATGAGTCTGGACCTAAGTTAAGTGTTCTATTCAATTTACCTTATTAAATCCTCCTAAATACCCTCTTTGTAAGCACTATTATTCTCATTAAAGATGGTGAAAAGTGGGCTTAAAGCTGTTAAGTAACTTATCTAAGCTTGTAGAGTGAATGAGTGGAGGGTACAGAGCTCCAGACTGTCCATTTTTTTTCTTTTTTTCTTTTTTAAAGAGATTTTTGCTATAGGGCGTGTGCACTCACCAGAAAAAACTGAGTAACAGAGAGACATAAAGTGAGAAATCACCCCCCGGGGGGAATGGTCACGCTGCAATCCCTTCTCCTCCATTCTCCTCCCGGGATCTTGGGCACACACGCACACACGCCTGGCGTGAGTTTAAGCCACCAAGTCCAGGACTCGAACCATGGTCCATGACATAGAAGTCCAGTGACATAGCCATTATGCCAGCTGCTGGTCCTCAGACAGTCCGTTTCTATAATCATACTGCCAAATGCTTCCTTTACTCCCAGTTTATATATCTGGGTCATAATGTACAATATATAACCCATCACCTTATAAAAGTAATTCACAGTATCTTCTCTTAATCTTACAATTATAATAAAAGAAAATGCTTTGCACAATTCAGTAAAGCTACTGGCGATCAGGGTTACCCTGTGCCCTTCTCTTCTTACCCTTGTTCCCTATGCTCACCTGCAATTCTGTTTTATCAGTGACTAAACCCACACTCCTCAATATTTTAGAAACTGTCTAGAGTAGAGAACACTGTTAAAGGTTTTGGAGTGGCCAGCAGGTGACGTGGTGGTGAAGGTGCTAGACTTCCACATCTCCCATACGGTCAGCCGTGGTTCAGGTCCCAGACCTGGAGACTTGAAAATCACACAGGGTGTGTGTGTGTGTGCATGCCCAAAATCCCAAGAGGAGAAGAGAACAGCGGAGAAGGGACTGCAGTGTGGCCATCCCCACCTGGACGAAGGGGTGATTTCTCACTTTCCCTTTCACTGTCTCTCTTTTTCTCTCTCTAGTGAGGGCATGCACTGTATGGAGAAAAAAAAAAAACCTAAAATAAATTTTTTTTGGAAAGCATAAGCAGATTATATCTACTGATTTCCTTTAATTCACCTGAGTATTTAATCTCTCTAAGTACTCTGAACGGATCGGAAAGAATTCTACTCTATTATTCTTAATTGTCCAATAATTCTCCTCTTAGATGATACCTACTTGCCTGATGAGGAAAGTAAATCATTTCCCTTGTTAGTAGTCATTTCCTTAACAGTATTCGCGTCTCTCAGCATTTTCATGCAGTCAGCCTATGCTAATTTAAATTTATTCTAAGTAACTTGCAAGTATATATATATTTTTGTCTTATTTTTTACTATAAGCCCTTTGGAAAGACCCTTGGTATCTCTCTTTTTCAAAATTCTACTCCAGGGCCAGCCTGGTGGCCTGATGGTTGAGCATGGTGCATGGAGAACCACATCCCACCTGGCTGCCCACAGTTCGAGTTCTGACCCTGCCAGCTTGAGAGACACTGCTGGCACGTGTGTCCGTGTGTTCAAGGTACTGATGGAAAGGAAGCACAGAGGAAAGAGGGCTGTGGTGCTCTTTGGTCAAAACAAAACAAACAAAAAAGTGTCCCAAACATATGGATTCTGTTCATGGGGTATGTTCTGGACTGAGATCATTCGTAACTCTACCAGAATCGATGAAAAAAAAAATCCAATTATTCTCTTTATTTATTACATTTGGTAACAGATTTGTTAGGAGACAATACTGAAACTATTTTCCCCAGTGAGATTTCAGGTTATTTACGGATTATTTATTTAGCTTGGATCACCGTAACCTCTATCTTTCTAGATAATCATGAGTTAGTGTTTTAACAAGTATCCAAATTAAAAAAAAAAAATCAGTCCTTTCTGGGATAGATCCTAAATATTTCATGGAAAATGACTGCCTTGTGGAGATGGGATATGAAGAAGATAAAAGAGGAAACCCAACTAGGGATATCATAAATGTTCTACTAATGCTTCTTGGCATGATAGCATACTAGAAGATTCTTTTTCTTTTCCAGAGAGAGATTTTTGCTATAGGGCACATGTGCTTGCCAGACAGAGAAAGTGAGAAGAAAGCGAGAAATCATTTCCCAGGGAGGATGGCCACACCACAATCCCCTCTCCTCCATCTTCCTCTAGGGATTTTAGGCACGCATGTACCTGGCATGCATTTTAAGCCACTGGGTCTGGGACTCGAATCATGGTCACCTACGTGGGAGTCCAGTGACGTAACCATTAAGCCATCTGCTGGTCCCAGTATATGAGAAGAAATGTAAAAGTTGTGCATATCTTACCCTGTAAGTAGTTTATTCTATCAAGTCCTCCAATTTGCTTCAAAGAGAATTATTACTTTAAAAGACAGATCATCTGTACTTCCAGCCATTTTGTGAATATATACACACAGTGCATATTGTTTAATGGCCTATTATGAAGACCTTTTTGTATTACCCCTATACTCTCCCACTGCATATGAACTGACTCTTTACAGGATTCACTTTATGGATGTCCCATAACTTATTTAACCAGTGTTTTACTACCATACACTTAGAGAGTTGGCAATATTTCACTGTTATGAACATTCTCTGATGAACATTCCTAGCTAACCCTGTGATTACTGCCTTTGAAAGGTTTTGTAAGTGAAATTCTTGGGGCGGGGCTTATACACACTTTGATGCTTTGATATGTATTCCCAAACTGCTGTATCTCTCCCTCCCTATCCCAAACAAAAATCCATACCAATTTATACTCACACTACCAGCACGGCATAACAAATACCTGATTTTGTGCATCATCCCCAATATTAAGTATTATGTTTAAGAATACTGCCAATTTTATAGATAAACTCTATGTCATTCACATGTAGATTTTACTTATAACTGAACTTGAATCTTTTCTCTATTTTCTACTTTTATTTATCCTTTTGTTAATGACTTACAAAATGTCCTCTATATTTAAAGGATATTAATCCACTGCCTATCACAGTTTGCATGCCAAAGATATTAATTTTTATTAGCCTAGCCTATCGATCTTTACCTCGGTAATTTCTCCTGGCCTAAATTCTCCTTGCTGAATAGCAGCCAAGTGCACATACTGGGTGAGACATCTATTTCTCTATTAAGAGTCCCTAGGGACTGGAAGTATGGGATCAGGGCAACTTCTCAGTGCAAAGGGGACACCGAAGGATCTCAGGTTATCAAGCCTAGGTCCCATACTCACCGACTCCACGGAGCTCTTAAGAGAGATTCTAATTCACGTGCCAGAATGCATATTTGCTTGGAATTTTGGTTTGGCTAAGAATGAAATCTTGTTGCTGAATAAACTGAAAAAAGCAAGTGCAATTTAAAGACACTAAAGGAAAAATGGGCTCAATCTCTTTTTTCCTGTGGAGAATTTTGTTCTAATACGATACAACTGAAAAATCCAAGCATTCCCTTCACTTCTTTCCCTGCTTGCAAAGTCTGTTTTCATGTCTTTGCATCTGCAGCAACATAGAGTGATTTCCAACTCGTAATCTGGCTGGGAATGTTCACACGGTGAGCTCGCCCAGGACAGAAACACTCCCTGTGACCTTAACTCAGAGGAGCTCCTTAAACATACCCCACACACATCCATCTACACACATCTCCGCCCACACATCAGAAGCCATTTTCAAAAGGGACTGAAAAAAGGAAGCCACTGGCCAAGATCCATCCATGC